AACAAAATCATCCAAATTATATGTAGAGCAACCAGAGAGAGAACGCGTACAGTCTTGCCAAGACGTGCACGAGTCCGATGCGCGACAACAGAGGGATCATAGGGGATGTAGCACGGTTCTTGGGTGGAACTTTAGTGACAGTTAGTTCCCTTACACACAATCAATTGTGTCGGCAAACTAATACATTTTCCAATCATAGACGAGCTGATGACAATCGTTTCAGGGGAGGTTCCGGTGATCGCTCCTTCCCCCCACACAGATCTAAAAAGTGCTCTGCGGTATGGCAACCATTATGTAGCAACGCAGGAGAGCATCTCCCACTAACATGAAAAAACACCTGGGGAAAACCTACACTGAGATAGGTGCCTCATAAAAACTGCGGCCGCGCGCGAGGTTCCCACGCTCCACGCAGTGGGTCTTGCCCCTTACTGCCCACAAGGGTAGGTTCATCAACGATCTATCCTGCCATGTTTCCGACCGAACGAAAGGTGGCATAGACGCAGACGCGGCTATTAAACAATGTGCCCCCGCGTTTGAGCGCTGAGACCATACCGAACTGGTAAGCCTAAGAGCGAATTATCCCAAGGTGAGCCTGCTCATGGCCACCACGTGAGAGTATACCCACACCAAGCCCTAGTTTCTTTTACGCGTACACAACCGGGGATCTCATTGCCATTGGTTGTAGGTTTACCTTCGGATGGACAGGTTCACACCAGTAGTGGCCTCCCCGGCAGAACACTCCTAGTTATGGAGTGTGACGTATGTACTATGGGCAGCCAGGCCCTTTTTTTCTGGAGGCTCCTTGAAGTCACCGGCTTGCATGCATCGCTCAACAAAAACCACAGCCAGAGGGTAGAGTTAGATAGAGACTTCCACGAACGACCTACATCTTTGGCGGTGGCCTATTGACCAGGAATTTCTCACGGACGGACGGCTACTGAGCACCCGATGCTGTGCTCCGGTTGAACGTCCACGAACGATAACATTCACCTCTCGGATACAAGCGCGACAGGCGGGTTTTGTCGGGCACTGCCAGTATCTTGAGATACGATCTACCCGCCGCTTTTTCGGCTGAATTCGAAAAGAGGCCCGCACCACGCAAGACCTGCAACGTGACGATCAATGCCATCGAACTTTGCTGGGAAGGTGTTTACCGCCTGGGTCATGTACGAACTGATAGGTCATCGCCTGGGTGGTCCGATGCTGATTTCGTGGAGATAAATTCACGGCAGCCACTTAGGTCTTGCGATGCGGCGGAGCAAGAGATAAGCGCACCCAACTGAGGATGAAAATGCGGGTTGTCTTGAAATCACGGGAGGCTGGGCACACAAAGCCAAACACATCCGAGGAAAACAGAACACGTAGCAGATGGTACTTCACGCCTGGCCTCGATCACAACTAACCGACAAAGTACGGCAGGTGACGAACACCGACGACTGGTACGAACAGTTATTTGGGGAAAGAGGAGAACGCCTAGACTATGCAATTTAGCACTGGGGTTCAACTGCTCGTCGTCATGACAACCAAGTTTGAGAGCAAATGACATCCGACTAGGAAAAACACTGGCCCGCATATTTTTCACCTCCTTGCCCCTGATCTCTACCGTTCGGTTTCGTTTTCCAGGAACAGGAAAAGGAAAAGGGGGAATGGGCACGGAAGTTGCCACTCGGGAGGAATCTAGGTGCGTGCGTCTCTCGGGGGCAGCACAAAAGTGGAACAAGGGGTTGGAGTTCATAACAAAAGTGAAACGGAGGGGACCATGGTTGCGCTTCACAGATGAGTCAGAGGTGCTGTCGTTTGCTCGAACCCGTGACCTGCCCAAGTCTGCCGACATTTCTCATTAAACAACGAAACCTCCATCGACAGAGGGTGCTTCACCGCTATGAAGTTCTTTCACAAGTTGTACATGCGGTGGGAACTGCTGACTTCTCCGTGTATGATCGCGGCCGCGGGGGAAAGGAATTGATAGAATTCGGGGATTTCGGGAAAGGATAAACAAGTAGGATTGTTGCTCACATGGTCGACCTGAGCTCAAGAGTAGCTTGCGGTCACCGGTTCGGGGGGTGGCGGAGAAACTATGTAGTTGAATCTGACGCTCTCGCATTTCTTGCTGTGCCAAGCGTCAGAACTGTGTACATACGCGAACGGGCTGGTGCACCCGCAATTCTCTTTTGACGCGTACATATGTATCTCCCTGACATTTTCTTCGTGGAGATTTTCAAGCCAGTATCGAGGAAAGAGCAACTGCAGAACTGTCAATGATCAATTCTTGGCGGCAAAGACTCGCAAAATCCGGGAAGGTTTCGCGATCACGCGGCTGCGCGAGGCAGAAGGGACGAGGGTCGGTATAGCATCCGCCGGGGTCTTTGAAGCGCTCGGGGAACTCGCCGACCTACTGTTAACCTCTGACTGCCAGGAGGAGCCAGGTTGATGACGAGACTGTCCGCATCAGGATATTATTCATCTGGAACGAAACATTCATCCCGTTGAGAATGATGTTTGAAGGTTCAGGTGGGAACCCCGTTCAGTATGCATACCTCCGGGTCAGGGTAGCCACACAGCTACCCATGCAAGGAGTGCCAAAGCTGTAAATCCTGCTCGCAGACTATGGAAGTCTCGGCTCATGCTGTACGTGAGGGAGGCAGGAGAAGGGTTCACACAAAATGGTGTCGGAAGCCTTACAAGGGACTACTTAGAGAATGCAGGTGATGGCATGTCAGCCTTCTGCGATATGGCGTGAGATTCAGAAGACCCCACAGGGGTAGAGGCAAATACGGGGCTGACTCCATTTTTTAGGAACATGTTTTTTCGGGAAACATCATAATGGAAGGCTGTACCCAGAGGGGTGAGAAGGCAAAGTTTATAATGTGTTGCACGCCGTCGAAACGTTATTGTTCCAGCGGTAGAAGAGCAGAGACGTGGTGCCAGAATTATTGAGCTACAACAAACCGGTTAGGTTTATGAGTTGGGCCTGGCTCATGCTACGAGCGCCCTCCACGCTCCACCTCCTCCACTTTGCAGTGACTAGAGTGAGTGCCTTTTTTCGCATCATCGGCTAACTTCTCTTTGTTTCCGGATACCATGCTTGCAGGCGATTGGGGGTGTGCATTCCGGCTTGCTTGTGATGCGTCCAGCACACACCGAACAGATGCAGAACTACAAGGTCGATGTCAACAACAAATGGAATACCGTAACAAACTTTATTGAGCAGGGAGTCAGGCACCGCAGGTAGCAGCCATCAATGTTTTGTTCATTGTCGGCCCAGGGCTTGGTTGCCTGCCTTTACATGTGAAGTATGTCGCATGTGCGCGTGTGGGTACGAGTTGCTGCCCTGGCCACGTCTGGGGTCACAACCAGCTACGCTAGTGCATCAGACTGCAGTTTTGAATTGTTGCTCCAAGTAGTTTACCAGCGCCAAGGACGGGAAATCTGCACCAACGAGGCGCGACGGGCGCCTGCTTAGCAGCTGCGCCCCTATGCACTCCTTGCGAACATTCACTGCAAATGAAGTCTCGGCAAGGTAGTCGATCGAAGACCCACATGATATCGGGAAGATTAGAATAGCGCCCACTCTGCCGAAGGGAGAAGGTCAAGAAGGTTCCAAACTGTTGCAGTAAAGGGCTTCAAACAATAGAAACAAAAACGAAGATGAGTCATTTTCCAAGGGAGAACATGACGATATCTCACGAGGGATCTCGCGGGGCACACAAGAAAATTCACATGTGCGCACAAACGCAGATTTCATTCGACCTGGATTTTCCTGGGGCCCAAAATTGGTGGGGGTGGGTGTTCTCATGCTTTGCATCCCTTGGGGGTTAGACCAATAGCCGCGCCTCTTCGAGAGGGCGGAGCAGTGTTCTCGCAGGATCGATCACCGATGGCCAATCGTTCCTTCCTTCTCTGCCAAAGATGTCTCAAAAACGTTATCCCTACCGTCTCTATGCTATCAATTTCACTACCCGCCTCTTCGGCACGCCTCCTATGCATATGCCTCAATAATGCTACGGTTCATGTTCGTTGTTCCATGCCTGAAACATATTTTTTTAATCCATTGAATTTCTTCCAGCTCAGTCCTGTACATTTCTCTCTCATTTTCATAAGCCATACATGAACCCGGTCTTCGCACTCGGAGCCGCATTTACACTTGAACTTGTCGTCGTCACCGCCTACCCCCCAAATTACTCGTCTACGTTCTCGAACGCCAATATCGCCAGCCCCAAATTTTGACCCTTGCTTGTCCCTGCATCCGTTGGTCCATGGAGGTACTCCAGACATTTCGTACCCATCGAGGCCTTTGTTATCCTTGAGTTTCTTCGTTGTTTGGTTTGATTCTGTTTTTCTCTCTCGGAAAAAGCACCAGATATCTTCTTCTTGAACCCCTCAATGAATAGTCGAGGCCTACCGTTTCCGATGTATCTACTTTGTCAACTTCAAACCCGTGCAAAACGTCATCTACGAGTAGTAAATATCCTCAGTCAACTCGTTTCTGCTGCTCTTTCTTGTTTGCCCCCTTTGCCTTCAAATGTATTCTATGGACTTCTCCTCACCCGTATCGTGCATTCGGTACTGCCATTCTAGCTTCCTCGCGTCTCTTCCCATTCGCCGTGACTGGATCCCCAGTTCTGCTGCATCGCTGGAGCATCCTACAGTAGGATGATTTTCGCTACGTTCATCTGGGCCGCCTCGAGGTCATCGACAGCCTTCATATTTTCTTCCCATACCGCCTCGGCACACTCTGGCGGCGGGACGCTAACGCTCCTCAACATGTTGTCCATATGCCGGTGTGCGAGTAGTGGGTGAAACTTCCATCCTCGCGCTTTGCCCTTTTCCGCTACTTCGGACCTGTGTGCATTCCATGACACTTCGTTTCAAAATACCCCCAGACACGTGTGTTCTCAAAGCGCCCCACCTCCACTGTTACTCTACTGGATTCTCACCATCCTGGTTGCATACCATTAACGTTGGCAGGCAATCTCCACCTATCGGCAACATCCGTCCTGAGGGGGAGGGGGTCTATGAGCGAGCCAGGATATAGTGTAGGCTAGCGGGCTTCGATTAGCGGTGTGTTGTGGGCATCATATAGTGAAGCAAGAGCAGACAATATCGGTACCAGGTCATCAACAATAGTCTCTGCCCTGCTTCCATAATTTTGTCTCCCGTTCGGCACTCTTAAACGCTCCACACGAACACCCACTAGAGCATGCGAGCACGCCATAGGCACCGTGCACACCGCTGGGCGGTCTGTGTTTTTGCGTAAACATTCCCCCACATAGTTGCAAGAACCCATGCATGCGCGCCCCACTTCCCCGACACGCCGAATGTAGCGCTAGTGACGACATGTTCCGTTCAGTTACTACCCGTAGTCCTCGGAGTGGGGTCACCATCATCCAAGAACGGCTACACCCCGCCCCCTTTCCCTTCCGACGCGTTCCACGCTCCCTGCGCCAAGCGCCGCAGGTGCATGGCGCTGGAAACGCCAGTCTCGTCAACCATCGAAGATAGTGTTGCATAAGCGGCAGCCGAGGTTTCACAGGCAGCAGCAGTGGTACCACAGGACGCTGGGGGGTCTCGGAGAAGCACGTGAGGGTGCCCCGCTTCCACGACGCTGCCCTCCGACAACACCACGACCTATCGCAAGTTCGTAAGCATCGTTCGTAGCGAGGTTGACAGCAGCAACAGGAGTTTTCGTATCAAGCCGGAAGTAACGGATGTACGCTTTCGATCCACGTCGTATCGCCAAGGGCGGACGGGTAGAGGCTCTCAAACACAATCCCACTTGCGATCATCTCGTCAGGCTTTCAAGCAATGGTGTCATACGTTCACTATGATGATCGAAGCCTTCGTTCAGAGGTACTGTAGATAGTTTACCTGATCGCAATCTATAACGGTGTTGAGGCGGTGAGCCACCATGATGACCGTCTTGCCCTTGAACGACGTCCGCACGACGTCTTGGATGAGGGAGTCAGTGTGTTGGTCGATGTTAGCGGTGGCCTCGTCCATCACAAGAATTTGAGACCTCTGGAGTACCGCCCTGGCGAGGCAGAGCAGTTGCCGCTGCCCCACCTGTTCAATCACGAAAGGGAGACGACAAGAATAGCCCCACACACGACGGAGACACACGAGCACAAAACAAGGAACGTCACCACGTATTGCGTTAGATGCAAGACAGAAACTCTTGTGTGTGAGTGAGGGAGAAAAGAAAGGGTGCGGGAGACTGAGACAATGAACCACGTACAGAAACGATACACAGCACCATTGTTCCGACTGTGGTCGTTTGAAGACAGTCGTCGAGTTCAGCCAAAACACCAACAGTATGGACTATTTGGTTTAGATGAATGCATAATTCTGTACGGATTCAAGGGCAAGAGATGGTGGTCCTACATACATTGCAGTTGGCATCCTTCAGCGTGCTCAAGACGTGTTCTAATATGTGCTTGAAGCGAGAGCCAGCTTCCAACCTTGGTCACGCCCATTTCTCACCGTGAATGCCGTTGCGAGGGCCTGCAAACTAACAACGTTTGTACCCTCTGTTTGCAATAGTAGGAACTAGCGCTTATGCCGATAGCATGCCCGAGCCAAGAATTTGTCTTCTCCGCTCTAATCGTTTAGCCTCGTACCAGAGAACAATGCTCCACAAGCATTTTTTCACGCGCCAGGAGGGTAATCGACAATTGGCAGTTATATGCCCATCCAATTTGTGTTGATGGGACCCGTGGCCTGCGAGATGCTTCGGACGCAAGGGCGTTCGGCGCAAGCCTACCACCGTTGAAATCGAGATTCTCCAGCTTTGCGGGGTTACGGTCACCTAGAAAGGATAACCACCATCGGGGAGCGCTCTGTTGTCTTCTTCTGAGGTCGATACTGCATTTCGTCAAAGCAGAGCTGGCGTGACAGCGCCCACCAAACGATCACAATTCGAAGGGTGGCGGGTGAATTGGCACTGATACCAGAGTGACCGTGGTTACAACGACATGACAACCTCAGCGCTCATGTAACTAACAGTGCCGATCACGTTCTCACAAAATAACTCACGGACAAATTGCCGCCGCCCTCCGCCACGGGAGCATCTAGCCCGCCCGCCAGCGATTGAACGTAGGTCTTCATCTGCACTGCTTCCAGCGAGGCCCACATGTGTGCATCTGACTGCCTACGAACCCACACGACAGAGATTTGCATGCCCGGATGCTCAAATTGAGAGGGTACGTTTCGGTGTGTTGGGTCGCCTTGCGACAATAACCACCAAGTAAATTCTGTTGGAAAAAGTCAAAAATGCATGGGGGCGGTACAACCGCGAAAACCGCGAAAATCGCCAAGACGATATTCGAACAAATCGAGAGAGGTGATTTAGGCCCCCCGCGAGAGAGGGAAATGACACGGAACGAGGTGGAAACCGATTCGAGATACTTGGCGCATCACCAGTGCTACACTCACTTTCCGAAGGGGTCGAGGTTTAGCCGCATCGAGCCGGAAAATAGAAACGGAGTCTGGGGCACCACCGACATCCTGGGCCTCAGGTCGTGCAGGCCCACCTTAGAGATGTCCACGCCATCAATTTCAATTCCCCCCCTGCCGCAAATCGACGGTCGAATAGAATCAAGACGCGAAGACATCAGGCGCAGACGTCCAAATGCGATCAAAGTAGGTACGAATGCAAGCGCACTCATACTCGTCCTTTTGTACAGCACACCGACCATGCTCAGATTGCAGGCGAATGGGGCAAAAACAAGTGCACCACGTTTATGTGGGCTTGAAAAAAACTCGTGTGCATGGTGGTACACTCCCATCATGCTGGAGTCAGCAATAATTCTTTGGAACACCTTTCCCTGTCGTACTCCACGAGCCGAAACAGCGCGGCGATGAGGCTGGACTTTCCCGCACCCGTCCTGCCGACTACTCCTACCCTCGACCCTCCCTTGATGGACAGGGTCAGTCCCTTCAGTACTGGGGGAAGATCGTCGCGGTATCGCATAGACATGTCGCGAACCTGGAGAGGTAATGGAGCGACACGGAGTTGTTCAACGGATGGCGCACCACCCCAGGAGTTGGGCAGCCCTACTATAAATACCACGACGTACCAAGTTAGTGTTGGTAACACGACACTCTAGGGACTACACGCAATCGAGTGCGATGCAATACTACGAACGGCCAATATCTGTTAACTGGTACGCAACAGCATTTTTTAAATTTTTAGACAAGGTTTGGATGTTAGCAAAATTTTTTATAATAGCAGGGGGGGGGGGGGGGGGGTGTACTCATAGTCGTGCATGCCGTAGTCGTTAGACCATTGACCTCGCATCCCTACAAAGCCGGGACGGAGCACGCCGGGTTCTCACCGGACCAGGCTCTCACATCACCAAGCGCGAAGCGCCGTGAGGTATTTGGCGAGTCGCATGAAGGGTGAGCTGCATCCTGCTAAGGGTGTTCTGCATCTTGTGCTTACTTCCTTGCGTACGGATGACAGCTACGTATGACTTAATTTATTTTCTGGTGCTTTCACTTCCAGAGACAGTTGTAAGCACTGTGTAACTGCCTCGAGGATGCTTGACCATTTTAACACAACGTGGTGCGATCATCCCCGTTGCGCCGAGTGAGCGTTCTCCACCCCGCACAACATGATCTACTCGATCACCATTATGGTTACCGCAAAAAAAAAAACCGAGGAAAAAAAAAAAAAAACGGTAACCTGGTTGCCGAGTTCACGAAGTGAATTGGCTTGTTTTACAACGTCATTGCCAAGCGGCGAAAACCCAACCCCGATGACAAACACTGGGGGGGTGTGTGCTTACTTCCTTGCGTACGGATGACACTCAACGTTTCTGGAGCTTTCACTTCCAGAGACAGTTATAAGCACTGTGTAACTGCCTCGAGGGTGCTTGACCAATTGGACACAGCGTGGTGCGATTATCCCCTTTGCGCGGAGTGAGAGTCCTCGACCCCGCACAACATAATCTACTCGACCACCACTATGGTTACCGCACAAACAAAAAAACGCAGGCAAAAAAAAAAGCGGTAACCTGGTTGCCGAGCTCATGAAGTGATCGGCTTGTTAAACAACATCGCTGGCGAGCGACCAAACCCCAACCCCGATAGCAAACACCGGGGGGGGGAATCTCTAGGAGGGGGAGTTTCAAAAATTGGGGGGTGGCCGGTGGTTTGGTTTCTCTGCACAGTGACGCGTCTTTCAGACCAGGAGAAGACGTCAGGGACGACAAAGCAGAAATGACAAGCAGAGGCGAGCGGCAGTCAGATTGTGCGAGAGACGACGACGAACACGCGGGGCACGGTCATTCCGTACCGCATGTTCAATACACTCGGATGGTTCACCTCGATGTTGCCCTCGGCCGGCCACCCATCCGCCGGTTTATACACCGGCTCGGACGCCAACGCAGCCTCCTGCGGCACTCTACAGTAGCTCAGCACACGCTCTGCTGACACCATTTGATTCTCCACCTGTCAATACCGACGCGAAACAGCGAGTATGACCTGCGTTATGATCAAACCTGCAACGCAGGTTTGATTGTCTGTTTCGAGGAGCTACAGGCAAACACTAAGCGACGGGGAAACGTTGCGATGACGCAGGGGTCTATTGGTTTGGCCAACGTCGTAGGAGGTTGCGCATCACGCCTCAGTTTCATGGCCCGCGTCCACTTAGCTTGAGACTGCGCCACTTTCAATCCTCGCGTCTCCTCGAAACGCAATACCACCGGGATCGAAGATCTCTTCGTGGCGTTGGCCCTCGCAACCTCGGCTATTTAAAACCTTGGCTAAAATGCGGATGGAGTCCGTTAAAATTTCGGTCTGTGAGGTAGGCGTTTCACGAAACACGTTTTGCCGTCAGGAATTCGGCGATTCGAAGCGTGAAGGGACAGCTGGCCGTCTAGTTTCACAGGGTCACCCCGTACGGCAAAGAGATGGAAGAGATGTACATCTGTCCTACAGGAATGCGATTGTCGCTCCGTCTTCGAGCGACGAAGTGCCCGACCTCCGTACCTCCGCCGCTTGTCTGACAGCCCACTGGAACAGCCCGCCCAGCTGAAGAACGTACACCATCGCTGCTCCCAGAAGCCCCGCATCTGCCAGTAACAGAAGGTGCGAAACATCCCAACAACCAACTGAAGACGAAAAAATTCCACCGAAACAAATTGCACCGGGCAACGCTATTCCTCAACCGACGCGGATTGAACCATACCTGAATATATTGTCGGTGATGGTCCAACGAACCGAACAACCACGTGGGGGTGCAGACATAGGCTGCCGCACAACCCAAAAGCCAACGTTCCACTTTCAAGGTCATCGATGTACTGCATAGTGGTCCTCGTCGATTTGTATGTATCTCGTACCTCCGAACGTTTTCACACCATAATGCGCCACGCCGGTTGTGCACTATTGTACCGGCCGTTCCGTTGTGTGGCAGCAAAAGTTTGAACCCCGGACGATTCTCCTCCGTTGATTTACAGCGACAATCCCTGACCAGTTTCACTTTATTCTCGATACGTTTCATATGTGGAATGCACTTTCGTCGTGCGGGTTGTGCAGTAGCCGCGGCCTTGATCCCCATCCACGTGTACCGTCTATCCCGGGCAGTGGATCAAAGGTTTACAACCCACGACGGTTCTCCAATGAGATATCGACTTCACGAAATCTCAACTGAAAAGCCGGAATCATTGGATGACCGAGTTGACTGTGCGAACTGTCCGGGACGGACTGTGCCAACAAAATGTTGGGACAAACGACCTGAGCGTCGACGGCCCCTCGTTCCACATGATGTAGAGCGAAAGAAGTGCGGACACTGTGATTTATCGGCGTTACAATGAAACGGAAGCGAACCTGGGCGTCCACCCCGAGATCGTCGGGGTCTAAACCAAGGTTGCCGCATAGGCAGCCATGCCGTTTGGGCTCATTCTTTGAAATGCATAGGCAAAACTATTCAGCCAGCATGCAGGAGAATGAATTGCCCGAGGCTCCAGACCGAGATAGTCATTCAGTACATCAGAATACGTTCATTTGCCATACGTTTTCACTCCATTTCATTTTTCGAACCATGTGTGGTATTGACCCGGAGGTAGGTCTTCGCCGTTCATATTTTCCATCATATCCTGGACATGTTTCGCACCGTTTTAACCGGCCTCAGTTCCACAGTGAGGTATATGATGCCGATGACTCCTTCGACGAGGCAATACCCCATCCGAGAACCTACGGCGTGGGCTGTAACCATGTACCGCCTGTCCGGGATGGACGATGTATGGTGTTGGACATAACCCGAGGTCGCCGCACAAACAAAACCCGGCGTCCCCATCCACAACAGGCGTGGAGTGAACTATTTGTGAATACATCTGCCGGGGATCCAAAAGGATTATCATCTGCCACAGATCCAAAACTGAGGTCACCGTACAACCCACAGGCCGCAGGCCGATGCCCCGGTCAACAACCAACTGCGTGTGAAATATATATTAGAATTGTCCGGGAAGGGCCATGCATATGTTCGGAGGAAAACCACCCGGGGGTCGAGACTGAGATAGCAGTAATGATACTCCGTTCCGTAACAAATCTTGACCAGCTGGAGAAGTTTGTGGGGTTTCGGGGGTCCTTCGTCAAACGTATGCGCGTATATCCATCGGTCACGACCGGAAAAAAAAAAACACGTCGATGTAACCGCAACGACATTAGTCACCCCCAGCTGAGAAGACCAACGCATTGGATCTGGTTGCCGGTGCACACGCAACATTGACTTTGTACGCTACCTGTGCGGGGGAACAGCAACACGATCACGCAACCATTCATCCAGCCAGAGATGCACGAACCCTCTCGACGTGCACCCTAACAGCCAGGGCGAACGATAACGCGGAAACATGGATCCGTCAGTGATGAAGTAATTACCACCGGTGGTACGCACAGAAACGCGAGAAACATCATACACTCCGCCTATTTCCCTTGACACCATGTCACTCACCGACGGAACTGCTGTACTCGTTCACTGCGACGGAGAAGAAGCAGCTAGCAGTGAGGACGATGATCACCACCATGTCCATCCGAAATCCCAGCCACCTCGCGGTGTAGACCCACGCGAAGTAGGCCCTCGTGTTCATGTTGACCACTTCTGTGAACTGGCCGAGGAACCGGTCTAATGAAGGGGGAGGGCGATCGACCGACAAGGCCGGGGCACCGCAGACGATCAAGCGCATTTGCACCGCAAACCAGGGTAGGCCAATAATTCACGGGGGTTAGGCGGCGCAACGCAAGCAAAATTGAACGCGGCGCAACGTTCTATAGTGTCCTGTAGAGTGCGGCTTTGTCACACACCAAGTTTCTTCTTCTTGCGCACAACATGAGTCGGGTTCGGATCTCGAATGCACGAATTGGTTTCGGATCTTGAATAGTTCACACTTCGTGACCCCCCGAAGTGAGCACCCAGATCACATCATCGCTCTCGATGTTTTTCGCATGAATTCATTCAATCGTCCAAGAGGTGCCATGGCATGCACCCCGCCACGATGGTACGCAGAGGATGCCCCCTCCTGGGAAACGGGACAGCTCCGAGATGTCTACTATGTTGATTTGCGAGGGGCGAGAGAGTGGAACTCACGCTGCTTTCCGAAGGCTCGAATGGTGACAAGGCCGTCGAGCGTCTCGGACAGCTGAGAATACACCGGGCTGCGGGTCACCGCCTCCAGCCGCTGTTCGTACACATGGCAACCACGGAAAACATGAACTTATAATGAACAATGCGGCGGTGACAGGAACGATGAGGGGGCGGGGGGGGGGCGAACCTCCACAGAGCAGTCCGTGCGAAAACTGCTTCAGATCGTGTTCGCATACCGCCCGCAGAGGTGCGCCAACGAACATGCCTAAAGCTGTGCAGGAGCCTCGCGAAATATCGCCGTTCCTCTACGACAGGTTTGGTTGGCAAACTTGGCAAATGTGACAGTTTCACGTCCATTCACTTGGACACACAAGAGGACGGACGGCGCAAGCGCCGGTATGGTTGTGCTAATGCAATCGCCAGCAATACCGCCTAATGCTCGAAAATAGATGAGCACTGCAGCAGCTGGCAATGTAGCACGCCATTGTCTTGTGATGACGGTGTTCGGTGCTAAGTGTAGGTATACGTACCTTGGCTTCCCTGCTCGTCTTCATGTAGAAACCCATCAGATGCACGAAGTACCACATGGCTGGGAGCAAGCTGTGATCGCACAAAATGTGGCATGGGGACAGGATGGAAAAACCAAAATGTGTTGTTTCACGTGGTGGGCGTGAGCGATGACTACAAAGGCGCGGGTCTATAGCCATGGTAGAGGCATGGTAGAGGCTACAATGGTCTTTCGGGGAAGCCGACATGAACGAACAGCGAGGAAACGATGCTCCTTGCCGGCCATCACCACAGCCTTGGTTATCATATACGAATAAACGTCCACCGACGGAAGAAAGTGTGAGGCGAAAAAACGTCGAATTCTTGGACCAAAGAAAAGAAATTGAAAACAACCAAAGCAGCAAAATCAAGTGATGCATCTGCATACCAAGCCAAAGGAGATTTCACCCAAACGAACAGAAAAACGTAGTGAGCTTGCTGCCGATCGTCCATCACGAAAATAGACGAGAATCTGCTATTTCCAGTTAGGCCACTGGCAACGCGCCAGTCTCCCAGTCTCCCACAACTACCAGCCTTCTGAAATGACGGCTTTTCACTCAGATGTAGACGAAAAGCCAACCCGAAATTTTCTGCGAATTCGAGCCCAACTTCTTCAAACGGACCTAAAGCAGTACAGACGCGCGGCTGGCGGCGACCGCTCGGCGTCGCTTTCGTCACATCGCACGTCCGTAGATTCCGCCCGCCGGCCACAACATTTCATAGCAGAAGAAGGACAACGCCGCCAATTACCGTGTAGGCTGAAGGTTTTCAATTGAAGTCGTTCCCATAAACGTGAAAGTTGGTAGATACCCCTAACTCTATTCTCAAATTGCGGAAAGCAAGAAAATGTTCCCCCCAACCAGCAATACAACGTGAGGTCATGACGTGCTTCGGTTCGTAGAAAGAATTTGCACGGCGCCAGAGTTGTAGGTGTCCTCGCAGCGAACCCATGCGCAACATGGTGACCCACACAACACGGGTCTAGTTTCCTGTTCTCAGCTCTGTGAGCTGAGTATTCAGCAATGTCCCCCACATTTAAGACTCTCGGCGCAACCGACAAAACCTAGTTGGTCTCCCGACTCGGAACAGTTCCAAGCGAGTTGTCGTCCTACCAGGCACCCTCTGGGTCGCACTCGCGCAATAACGGTCAACACTACGCTCTCACAAACGGACGTTCGCACCTGTGAATATATTTTTGTTCTCAGGGAAAGTGAACTCGAGCTCTTCATATCTACGGGCAACAGTAATCGGGATGCGTTTGAGGTAACAGAACTGCCCGGTATCCGAGCAGTTCGGAAGAAATGACGATAACCACCGGTCACAGAAGGTAAGGCAATACAACACGGTCGTCCGCATTGCGACAACGAATGGCGAATCTTGCAGGACTAGCACCAGCGGTGTTCTTCGCTGGACGACAAGACCGAATAACATCGCCGACAGGTTTAGGAAACCATTCTCCTGTCGAAAGACAAGCCTAAGAACCACCCAGGAGTTCACGAAAACGATATTGGGAAACCTCAGAACCATCTAGAATAAACGCCTCTCGATAGACAAACAAACCTGAGAACCACCCAGGGGTTGACGAAGAAGATGATGAGGGTGTTGCCCATCACCATGAAGCCGCACATGATACAGTCGTACAGGGTCATTGGCAGGAGGTCGTCCATGAAGTGCACGTCCTTAGTGAAGCGGTTCAGGATCCTAGAGCACAACACAACACCGTGCATTCAAAATAGGAGGAGGGCGGCGGGTTTTTCAGATATCAAGTGAGCCAAGGCGCTTGAGAATGGGGGTTTCTGCGGGTCGTTCATCGGGGATTTCTGAGGTCACCAATGATGACGCTGGACGTTGGTGGAACGCGACTTATCTAGCGCCCATCCACCAATGTATCTTCGTAGCGGCATCGATGTGCGATAAGCAGTACCCCATCCGCTACGGACTATTGTGCTCCTGAAACGGTTTGAAATCCTTGGTGATCCGCCGGTGAGTCATTCTTAGCAGGATACAATAGACAGGATCAGTATCACATTACCTGCCGACGGGGTTGGAGTCGAAGAACAGCACCGGAGCGCGGACGACCCGCTTGAGCATTCGATTGTGCAGCCGGTGCGACGCCTGAAGAAAGGAGAAATGCACAGAGGAGCGCAACCAAACACGAGGAGAACACACAAAAAGAAAAAGACAAATCGTCAAGACAAGGACACCTCGGTGCTACGTTTTCCACACTTGTTGCCGTTCGTGAAAATTACAGAAAGAAGCACATGATAACTTGTCCAGTGCTTTCTGTCCTCCTGCACAACCCCGGCGAGGGTGTCAGACACACACTGTAAGGTTTAGACTTGCAACCCAGAACTGATGGAAGCAAGGACGAAGACATACACAAGAAGGGCTGCCGCTGCGGCTCTGTAGACTTCAGCGTCGCGTCTGCGGGCGCGTCTTCTGTGCATATGCGGCAGGGATCAAACGATACAAGTTTCTCGCAGAACCCACCGTACCGTGTGTTTTCCAGCGACTGGTGTATACTAGCACAACCTGCCGCAATAATGGTGGAGCAGGACTCTTGTTCAAAATTCTTGTAGTAGGATGGATGAGTAGGACCTTGGCCTTGGTCCACGCCGCTCGACACGGCGGAACATAGGTTCGGAAAAAGAGAGAAATCTACACCGGTTTCGTGCAAACACGAGCTCCGAATGTACCCCGCGACGGTCGACGCACTGCGAAAGCAAGACAGGGAACCCTGACGGCGGCAGTTGAAGAGGGGGCGAACAAGACCTTGTGCAAGAGCAGCAACAACCATCCCATGCTCGCCCACTTTTTTCGCACCTTGACAAGGCTGAAGAAGGTTAGGACGGCCCTGAAAAGGGAGACCACGACGGCTGCTGCGGTGAGAAGCGCGAGAACGATGACGTTCCGGCTCCGGTCCTGCTCCTCCTCGCTCTGGCGCGACCACCTGGCCAGCCAAACCGTCACCCCCATCACCAGCACCTGGAGCGTCGTGTGGCGGGTTGCCGTGAAACAGGCCAAGCGCACAACACAAGAATGGCATATTACCGTGTTCCATCATACGGCGAAAAAACAGACCGCCTGTTACAAAACGTTTGGCGGACGATATAACCAAATAAAGTTTGGGTTTGGGGTGTTTGCTTGTTATTGTTTTGGGTATTTTTGTTTTTTCAGGTTTGGGAACGCAATATGTAGATGTCGAGGGTCCCGACATTGAAAATCTTGCCGTAGTTTGCATGGGGTATCCCACACCGAATAATGATGGTTAAAGCTCTGTTACTCCGCAGCGAAGAGAACGCCAAACTGGAATGATACGTTGTCAGGCGGTACTCGACGAGACGGCTCGAACACCACCTGTTTCGGACTGTACCACTCTGCTTTGTGGGGAATCCACAAAATGGTGTGTGCCCCGCGTGTTTAGGCATAATAAAGTGTATACGGAGTAACTTTTTTCGGTGTGAGGCACAACGCCTGACGCCCGGTGGACACCCCATTTAACCCCCTTCGAGCGCTTCAGCCGCATGCGCCAGGCCCTTCGGAAGGACGCCGAACCTTTCTGTTGTTTTCACCCACAGGAACAAGGTTAATAGGGCCTGGAAGAGAGGGGCTTGTTGGAGGTCAACATTTTGTTCGCGAAACCGCCGGGTACATGTTAAACGTTCATCTAGTACCCGATTTTGTTCACAAATATACCCCATAATGTTCAAGGTATACCCCTTTCGGTTCAGTGGTAACGCTCCTGCGGACTGCCAAAATGGTACCGGTAGATCATCATATCCGTATATCTTCTGTCTCCTTGTCGCCCCGTAGACCACCAAACTTGCGTGCTGCATGGCAGACCCCCATATCTCCATATCCTCTGTCTGCTTATCGCGCCGCAGACGATGAAACCTGAGTGTTGCACCGCAGACCACCATAGGTGTAACGGCAGAAGACCCTGAGATATGGTGGCCCGCGGTGCAACACGCAGGTTTCGCTGTCTGCGCCGCGACAGGGAGACAGTTATCGAGAATTGTTAGTTCGGTTTAGCGACCTGTTCTGAATAGCGGCCACATATCGTCGTGACACTAGGGGCCGCTAAACCGCCCCCCCCACTTAATGGTGATCTGCGGTTGCCATTTTGGCAGTCCACAGGAGCGTCACCCCTGAACCAAACGAGGCATCATTATGGAGTAGGTTTGTGAACAAAAACGAGGACTAGATAAACGTTTAGCAGACCGAGGTGTGTACCCGGCGGTTTCGTGAACAAAATGGGGTCTCCAACAAGCTCCTGTCTTCCAGGTCCTAGTTAACCTTGTTCCTGTGGGTGAAAACAAAGAGAGTGTTGGGCGTCTTTCCTAAGGACCTGGCGCATGGGGTCGAAGCGCTAGAAGGCGGATAGAAGGCGCCCACCCAGCGTCAGGCGTTGCTCCACACACGGAAAAAAAGGATACCCCACATTTTGTTCTACCTCCTTACTACGTCCCCAACCGCCTCCAGCACCGGTGGTTTGAAAAGCGTCGCTCGAATACCTGTCCTCCCGCCATGGAGAAGAAGATCAGCACAACCTGCCAGACGCCAGCGGCCTCCCTGATGTACTCCCAGTAGGTGCTGCGCTTCAGCCTCCCAGACTGCGCGGGGCGCAAAAGGGGGCAGCGGGTACCCGCAGAGTGCGGTCGAAATGAGCGGGGGGTCGGGAACAGGGGGCATGGACGAATACGGGAGCTTAGGGGCCCTTTCGGGAGAAAAAGCGAAAGACACACCAATCTTTCGTCAACCGGAATGGGGTAAGCACGTCACCGGCATCGCCATGCTCTTGCCCACACCGGGCCCCCGCTTGTCGACCTGCCGCCAATTGAAATGATGTACTCGGGCGGAATCCGAGTTTTTCTTTGTTCCACCCCCATATCCCATGACGCGCTGCCATTTCATTTCCTGAGTAACCGTACTAGGTAAGCCAACACCACCACAAACACCACCCTCACGCCCACCACCTCTACAACCGACAACCCCCCCAGCTTGATGCCATGGCTTCGTGCACCTCCTGGTCTTCCGAGACGACGAGCTCCGGCGGCGCATCCTTAGCACCCTCTGTCAACAGCCCCCCCTCGTTATGGTCCCCGTCCGATTCGCTCCAACAGTCAGCTTCGCCGTCGTGTCCGACACCCCCACCATCCTTCTCCTGCTGGTGCTGCTGCTGATCTCGGTGGAGTTCTACTGAGGCGTTATCGCTGCCCTCGACTCCCATAGCGGTCGGTTCCAAAGATGTTGAAGATCCGTCAGGCGCCGCGGCGACCACTTCACATGGTGCGCCGCCCCTGCCGCCAGGGGCAGCGCTGGAGACAGAGCGCGACGAGGTGGAGGAGGGGTGGGCCGGCGCCGTCGCCTGTGGCGGCGTCTTACGGTAGGCGCTGCCGGTGCTGCTAATGCTGCGGACGCGGGTGGACCGGGAAACTCCTCCTGCGGCGTTACGGTTCACGGTACTACTACCGTGGTCGACATTGGCCTCGCCCCTGGTGGCTTTTGTCGGCGAGTTCGGACGCTCGAGCGCGGCGAAGCTCCCGCTGGCTTCGAGCTCTTCGTAGCTGAGGTTGGGCACGACAACGGTATGTAGCAGAAATGGTCAGAATGGAGACAACGAGAGAACCGCGAAAACAGTTTAGGGTGGACGCAAAGCAGAGGAGCGGAAGCAACATTCAGAACAGAGAGAAATTGGATAATTTAGGAGCCGTATCCTTCCGCTGCAGCAGAATTTTTCCAAGTTCATTCCGCGGGGGGCAATGAATTGAGTTGAACGATCACACACACGTCCTTTGTGCGAACTTGCTATACACGACACAAGATACACCACACATGGAAAACGTCCACACACCATACAAAGTCCCAGTGGTGTGTTGCCACGAGTCAACATTTTCCCAACCGAATCACTAGTCTCAGAACAAGCAATAGAGCCACGGAGAATACCTCACCGCCCACAGATGACCGCAACCGTTGCTCATCACTCAAGAACCCGAAACTCCATCACCATATTGCATTTTTCGAGCACTGAATATAGGTGAATCCACCGCAAGGTAGGCAATGAGGCATAGAGGTGACCGTTATCACATTGGGGACGCAACAGTAGATCAGCGTGAAGATACACGCACGTGGTTTGACGAACAAATCATGCAGGAGTTCCACGAGGGTATTTACCGGAAGCACGTCGAAAACCGTCGCAACACGGAGCGACAGTCTGACAAGGCAGCGCCAAGAAGAACGCATCACGAAATAACAAAAAAGCCGATTGAGCTCGATCGATCTTTCGCGGTCACCAAAAACCAGCGTAGCCTACGCCGTCGATGCCCTTTGTGTTTTTAGTGAGGGGGCGGCATGGGGGAGACTAATCGATTTTCAGTATCAAAGACAGAAACGGTAGCAACAGAAGAAAACTGCACATGTCTACGAAGGCTGCCTGTGTGTGTGTGTGTGGCGAATGGTGCCGCGTGCCCCACCTCCCTTTTCCGACGATCTTGCCTTGGTGCATGACGATGATCTGGTCCACCTCGGGGTCCCTCAAGTAGTGCACCTGCTCGCGACGACGACGAACAACGATGATCACGTCGAAAAAGAAATGTGATTTCGCCACACGTCTAAAGGCGGCAATATACGAATAGAGATCATTACAGAGACAGCAAAAATACCAAGATCTAGCTGGTGGAGACAAACAATATGTGTTGAAGCTACAAACGGGGAAGCGCTGCACTTGGCGGAATTGGCTGTCCACGTGGTGGCCTCCATGTCGGCATACGATACCATCTTACCCTCGCCCAATCCATTGCACGTAGGCTTTCTAAGTGCGCTGGCCTCGCATCCACCGGTGGTGTTTTGGGATAGGTCTCATCGGGAATACGGTTCCACATGGCATGCAACAAAGGCCGAAATGGCCCCCGTGTCTTGCTGTATTAGCCACGCAATGTCCCTCGATCCCTTCTACAAAAGAGCTGCCAACGCCGCCTCCTCACCTGTCGATTGGGTCGTCGTCGGTTACGCTACGTGGAGTCTAAAACGGAAAAAAGAACGATGGGACGGATTCGTTCTCTGTGCTTGCCTGGTGCGTCACGAGCACCCTCGTGCTCTCCTTGAGCCTGCCGCACACCACCTTGGAGAAGAGCTCGCGACCGACGGCCGGGTCTACCGCCGACAGCGGGTCGTCCATAAGGTAAGTGTCCGCCTTAGAGAAAGGTGCCAGCAGGAAAGCGGGAGGAACAAGACCGTCGGGTTTCACGCAACAGACACTCAGAGAAAAAAAACAGGCATTGCGATGAGCACACCTTGCCATCAACCTCGGCCGTATCATCGGCGGGGAATGTCATGCCTCCCATGCCGAGGCTTCGGCTTCAACAGTTGTGGTTTGGGAAATAGGCTGTACGGCAAACGGGCAAGGCGCTCCAGGAGGGACACCCGTCTAAAAGGTGCGTCTTTAATGACGTAGGTGTGATAGGTTGCCAGTCTACAAATATCATCCAACATCAGGAGCAATCGTGATCTGATTCACCGGAGAAACGGCACGGGCATACACAGAACAGATCCTAAGCACTCGCGGGGAGTCCCTTGCGGGTGTTTGCCCCCACAGGCAACGTGGGTAAAAGGGGTGGGGCAGCCACGCAGGAGGCAATACCTCATTTCATACCAGATAGGCCCGTTCAAAAGACAAGGACAACCAGCTCTCATCGAAGACAAGAAGAGCGTGAGCCACAAAGTAATATCCACCTTCCTTCCACCACCCACCGCGTAGCCCCCATTCCCATCCTAGAGGAGCGGCGCAACTCACATGCGCGTAGGCCATGCGGGCCAGCCCCACTCTCGCCTTCTGACCCCCGGAAAGATTGACGCCCCTGTCTCCGATACCGGTCTGGTCGCCCGATGGAAGGAGGGAGAGGTCCCTTTCCAAGGCACAGTCCCGTATCACCGCGTCATACCTGCCCGTTGCGAGAGAGAACGAGACAAGACAGATAGACAGACAGACAAACAGACAGACAGACAGACCGACAGACCGATCAAGCAGACAGACAGACCGATCAAACAGACAAACAGAGAGGCACAGAGAGGGTAAGACAGAACGATATGCAAACAGGTTGCGTGACATTCAAAGCCATATGTCCCCACATAGCAAGTGCCTTCAGAAGGTCCAACACCCTGCTCCAGCCTTCTATCTCTCTTCAAACGCCATCTGCACCTTTCCCTACCTCTTTTGGTCCATGGCTCTCCCGAACAAGATGTTCTCCCGTATAGTGCTCGACTGAATCCAAGGTTCCTGTGAGGTGTATGCCAGGCTTCCCGAAACAGACACAAGCGGCTGGCAATTTCGCTGCGTGAAACAAGGAAAACATTAACAAGCAGCAGCAGCAGCAGCAGCAACAGCAGCAGCAACAACAACAAAGACAGCCGCAGCAGCAGGCTCAGGGGCAGGGTCACGTGCGACGGCACGCGCAGAAACGTAGTACGGAGTGGGGTTCAGCTCCAAAGGGGAAACCAAGAACAAACGCCAGGATGGTCTCACATAGGAACGTCTGCAACCTCGAACCAACGCGATTCCAGCATGGGTAGTTCCGGCTTGGGACGAGCGCGATCAAAACCCTCAGCATCAAGCCACACAGGAGAAGTCGGCGAGCTGACGCTCGAGAGACACAGTCGAGGAGGAATGCGGTCATTCGTATTGAGAATAAAATAGAGGCAACACAAGGTTGGGTGCCGGTTCCTCCGAAAGCCACCAATAGAACGTTCGAGCAATAAATAATAGCACTCGGGACTATTGCATCCCCCCCCCTTCCCGTCGTCCGCAAGCTGAATGTACGGCAACACGGACCTCCCCGTGGCCGTGGCCGGCACCACCATCGACTGCCGCCGTCCCTGCCCCGCCAGACGTCCTCTCCGGTGTGATCTCCCTGAGCATGGCCATGAGCAACGAGCTCTTGGAGGAGCCGACTGGCCCGACCACTCCCACCAGCTGCCCCGGTTCGATCCGCAGGTCGATGGCGTCAAGGGTCAATCCTGAAAATCACAAGTCGTACATGGATTGTACAAAACAACGTGGGTGGGCTTGTGAGTATGTCGATTACATGACTGGTACGATCCTCGGTCCGTGGTACGAACAGTAGATTTGTCCAGTTGTACGCGCACGGGAAGGAAGCATGGTGCCGATAACAGAGAACTCCAAAACACAAAACCAACACAACACAACCTATCATACACCGTGGCGCCATTTCCAGGCCACTCCTGTGCTGATGCATGGCGCGACACAGCAGCCCTTCCCTTGCCTCCCCGTCTCCATACGGGCTCAGTACTCTCTTGTGGAGGCCCCGGCGGTTTCCAAACGGCTGGTTGAAGCCAAGTCGACATCAGGGAGGGGCCTCGGCGTGTGATCCGTCACAAGACATGAGAACCCCGTCCATCAGAGAGACGGTGAGATAAAACCATTCTTAGCATCGCCCCGTATCTTGAGGCATGGAATCCCCGCACAGAGGTGGCAGACGTGAAGGATTTTCACCTCCAGCGTTTGTCTCAGCTCCGTTGTCCCCCTCTCCTGGCGCAGCGTCAGCGCCGTCGCTGATCCCTAGATCCTGAGGGTGGATTATACCGAAGCGTGAGTCCGGGGCGGGGGGAGACAAGTGGCAGGTGGTAGAAATTTCCGCATGTCGACGGAGCGATCAATCAGCCCTTTTCACTACAAATCATATTTCGAAGCACTAATGATTGCAAACGGCGGTGTGAATCGTCGCGACCTCTCGATTCGATGCCATTGTGCCACCTGCTCGTTGACCTCATACACCGTGCAAACGTCAACAACCGCCTGCACCCTTCGTGCCGCCCAGAGAAAAAAACTCGCACCTTCATCTCGCAAAAACCCTACGTCGAAATCTCAGGAGACGCCTATCACGGCGCGTCTACCAATACTTTCTCCCATAGATATCTAGTTCTTTATGATTCTACCGCATTCAGGGGCTACTACGAACGGCCCTACTCATGAACCCGACAAGAACACATCGACGAACGGTTCTTGTGGACTCTTCCAGCATCTTCTCCGAATCACCCTCCCACGGTGCGCATCGCACACCTTTCGCTTCTTCTTGCCCTCTATCAAGCCGCGGAAAACCTTGGCGTGCTGGTCCTCTTCCCTCCCGCTGGTCCATCGGAAGCTCGCCCCCTTCAACGAAACCAGACCCGGCCACTCCTCTGCACCATTCCCTCCATCGCTATCCCGACCTCCCACTGGTTCACGAACGCCTCGAACGGACCCTGCCATCGACGGTCCCTCCCTTGCCTCCCCAGCGACAGCGACTCCTGCCGCTGGTGTTGGTGCAGAAGCCGTTCCCGCCTCGGCCGTCTTTGCCTCGACGACGGTAGGGGCCCCGCAGAGGAAGGCCATTAAGGGGGGGGGAGAAGGGGTAGACCCCGACCGTGTTGGTGTCGAGGAGGCGGCGGCGGCGGCAGCAGGGTGTTTTGGCAGCCCACCCTCGTCCGGCTTGGTGGTGACGTCAACCTCTCGTAGGGGCGAAGATAGGGCTTCATTCTCCTGTAAATCATCACCAAGCAGTGGACAACGGCGGCGTCGCCGGCCGCAGTCACAAGTGTGGTAGTAGCGACAGCGGGGGCGGCGGGTGGACCGTGAGCGTGTACATACTGTGGTCAGAAATACAACAAACGCATGGGCCGAAACAAAGGATATCCATCGTTTGCTGCCGACGACGCCAACGTGTAGGGATGCTGACCAGAAACGTATACAAGTTCGTTTTCTTTGCTCCTGTACGTATGATCCCGGCTGACGCGTCCAGAACGTATACTGCAAGGGGTAGGGACTGACGTCCACAAGAAACGGGACAACAAGACCTGGTTGTGCGGATCGGAAAGGGTTAACCTGTCCACCGGCTTCGTGCTTGCGGGGGAAGGCATGGCCAGGAGCCTGCGGGAGGGAGACGTTCGAAACTATGGTAAGAAGATTGAATTTTGATGGCGACGGTGCTGGCGATGTCGTACAACCATCGCACACCTCCATGAGCAGGATGGTCTCTATCCGCTTGATGGACACCCAGCTCTCGCTGGAGGTCTGGACGGCCAGGTAGAGGAATTTTCCTACCGTGAACTGGGTGATGCTGAGGAGCGCCAGCGTGGTGAATACCTGCCACACCGCGATCCCCAAGAGGCAAGAAACGGCACGTGTGTATGTGCAAAGCGGGGTCTCTTAGAGTAGAGGCGTGACCATTGAATGAAAAAGAAACTGGGGCGCACACGGGAATGAAGGGGCGCCATCTCCCGACACGAGCTAGGTGGGGCATCAATATCACGACACACCCTTTTATGCCCACACAACAATACGATCACACCCCGCAGGCGAGACAATAAACTACACCCGGCGGGGATACGTTTACGGGTCTCTTAGAGCAGAGGCATGACCCTTGAGCTCTTCTCACTGCAGCTTTTGTAGAGCCAGCCAGTATTGAACCTGAATGACAAACACGAGCTACTACGTCCATCGATAGAATATAGAATAGAAGATCGCGTTCTTATGGTAGTCGTGCGAGCTGTTCGTGAGGAGACAGACTAGGGAGCACTTGTCTGCAGAAGCTGGAAACCCACTGCGAAGCGCGCGTACTCATGGGCGTGCTTGCAGGACGTACGTGAGGCATAAACTGGAAACAACGGAACGTCATATCTTCTTGCGCGAACTAAATAGGTAGTGACAAGGCCGATTGCGTGGTTCGTGCAGAGTTTCCTGGCGAACCGTGGATGTGCTCGAACGCCTTCAATATACAGGATCTGTAAAATACCAATTGCGTGTGTGAGATGGACTGTACGCCGGAAAAGCGAGCCCCCGTGAGGTAAGACCCTCGAGATGCGGCAATCTCCGTCTTACTCGTATTATTGGAACAAGCCGAATTAATATCCATCAACAGCGAATCCATTCCAGATTTTTCTTCGAGAGCCGGCCCAGGTTGAAAATTCGACACTGACGTTCTTCAGAGTAATCAAAATAAATATAAATACGAACGTGGCCTGGTTTGGTTGCCGCGTCCATCCAATCACCTGCCGTGGGGCGAGCACGTTTCCGAGCAAGTGGTACGTGGCGAACACGAGGCACGATATGACGGCGGGCTGTATGAAGAACATGGCCTCGTTGACTGCTCGGAGCAGGGTGGCCGTGAGCAGTACGCGAATCTCCTCCGCCCGCACCCTGGGTCGCCAAGAGGCCAAGAGAGAGACAGACAGACAGACAGACAGAGCGAGAGAGAGAGGAAGAAGGGAGAGGGAGAGAGAGACAGAAAGAGAGAGGGGGGGGGGGGGGGGGGGCGAGGGAGAGAGACACAGAGACAGAGAGACACACAGAGAGAGACACACAGAGAGAGAGGGGCACACGCAGACGGCGATTTCATCAAGAGGGAGACCCTTAAGATACTCCTTGGGGTCGTTATCGTCATGGGCACACTTGATTTCCAAAAAAACGACGAAGCGGGGGTACGTAAACTCCTGGTCTTCGTGACGGAACACAAACAGCTGGCTTGGTTGTGATGGGTATGTGTACGTGTGATGTCCCTTGGATATGAAGAACCAACCGTTCCTTCAACACGAAAATGACATCAATACGACAAATGGACTGAAGCGAAGGTTTTCAGAGAGAATGGCAGAAAGAGACAGAGAGAGAGAGCTAAAGCACAAGCGGGGCACGGCAGCAACAACAACTCGACCGCCTCGCGGCAGGAAACCCCAACCCACCACTCATTGCTACAAGAACATCAACATCAGAATATTCACAAATCCACTGCTATTGCATTGTTATGTGCGTGTTCTCCAGCCCATTGCCTGCGAATCTCCTTCTCCAAGGCGGGCTCCCAGGCGTTGATCTTCATCAGCCTTGCGCCCGCGACGGCCTGATTGGTCAGCTTCACCCTCTCGTCGGTCAGGACTGTCACGCGCTGCCGCACCTGCGAGAACCTGCGGGAAAACGCCCCCTGGACGCGCATCAGGGGGAGAAAAACACGGCGAGAGGTCGAACATCAGACGCCGCGGGACGGTGGTAGCAGCAGCAGCAGCAGCAGCAGCAGCAGCAGCGAGACAGCACAAGGAATGACCGTGACGTGTGTTGGGTCGGTGGGCAACGGTTCCGTGCGCTCGGTGTCGCCGTCGTGCACCCGTACTTGTGAGAGTAGAACACCAGTTCTCCATACAACAACGGGGCGGTGGCCATCAGACGTTTGACGTTCCGGCTCGTGTTGCACGCAGCACAGGGTGGGCGCCATATTGTCGTGTACCACCAACACAATTGGAGTGCAATGGTGACGAGGGAAAGGGGCGGCTGAACCCTTCTCGCGATAAGAGTCAAAGCAAGCACCGCAGGAGGAAAGGAGAACAAAATAGGTAACATTGTACGGCCTTCTTCCTGTGTGAGCCCGCTGACATGCCCAGGAAAAATACCGAACGATCTAAAACAACTCACGTCCGAGCAAGCGGGCCGAGGTCAACACACGCGTAGGTTTATATTTCGAAAGAAGAGCCATAGATGCTTTTCTTCTCGACACAAGTAAGCCAACAAATGACCCACGGCTCCGGCCGCGACACGACACGCGCTTGACGCCACGCCTGCGAATCAAGTGCTTTCAATCAGTTTCCGAACAACAAGCATTCTGCGAATGTCCCTCCTCCAACGACAGCCGCACCACACCATCCTCTCCTTTGAGTGACACCCCGCACGCGAACCTGCCGTCTATAGCTCCGATTTTTGTTGCCAGCATCGCGCACACTCGCCTCAACTCCATACCACACCACCTCACAACGACGCCCTGCCTCCCGGTCGCCGCCAACCTCCTAATCCATCACATTTTTTCGAGGAGGTTTCAGTGCGTTTCGCGGCTAAACCACCCCGTAGCAACGATCGACGGGACGATGGCATCGAAGGGGAAGAATGGGGGGACATGCACAAGCAACGGTTTGAGAGAGAGCATTCACACCTGCGCAGGGACCATGAGCGCGAGCGCTGCAAATCCCGCTAGAAACGAAACCCCGACTTGGTTCAACCCGAAGTACAAGATGACCAGGCTCTCCAGGGGAGCCCCCCAGAGGTAGTTGACGAATGTGCCGGCTATTTGAAACGCCTCTACGTCGGTCGTCGTCAGGTTCACCAGGTGTCCGGTGGAAATCTGGAGCGCAAACTCAGGCAGTGTTTTGTTGCGAATGTTGTTAATCTTCTTGTTGTGGTCGTCGTGTGTTGCTACTGGTGGTTTCGATCGTCAACGTGGTGGATTGTAGTTGCCGTCGTCGACGTTGTTGTGGTTGTTGTTCGTGCTGTCAAGGTTGTCGCCGTTGGTTTCGATTACAAACACGTATTTCTGCGGCTGCCTTCGTTTGTAGACACCCAATGAGTGCGTTGCAGTAAAGCAAGCATGTCACGCACGTGGCAACTGCTCCCGCATCAGCCATGACGGCAAACTCTTGACTTATCCAGCTCCATCAACGCTACCGAGGACTCGTACCCGGACAAAAACCATCGAGCGCCAAAAACAAAGCACGCGCTTCTCTTGCAATTCCCGCTGAACCGAGGACACAGCAGAGGAACACGGACCTGTCCCAGCGAGCTGAGGCGAAGTCGTAGAATCTTGTCGTAGAGGATGGTAGTGGTGCAGATCCTTAGCTGCATGCCCAGCGTGTACCCCACGAAAAAGAAATGGTGGATAAAAAAGCTGAGAGGAGGTAGCCGGCCGGGGAAAACGTCGTGGTTGATCCCAACCCGCCGTCATTATCCACAGAAAGACGAAAGGCCCACACACATGAAGTGGTCGGCGTAAACAGGAGCGTGTTAGGGGTGGAGGAATATTTTCCGTGGAGTAGAGGACCAAACCTGAAAAAGATACGGCTCAAATTATCAAAGCCTGGATGTCGCTTGACATATATTGGGGGACACGCATTCTCACATCAGTAACAGAAACAACAAGGAACAGCAACAGCACCATCAGCGAAAGGACACGAGAAGCAACGTCAGCCCACCAGATGAAAACCCCGCCCAGCACGACCACGGAGGCGTACGTCCAGCCCTCCCAACTCGCCGAGGCCTCGTCGTCGAAGTATCCGATCAGCCACCCCAGTGCCAACGCCTGGTTGGATAAACTCGGTTTCAGCGCCAAAGAGGTGATACGCAGCGAGCTTAAGGGCAGAGGTGTTGGTGCTTTCGTCCCTCAACCAGAACACTAAACAGAGAACCTTGGGGCATCCGTGGGATGGAACCCACACGGTAATATACACCTGCACTAGGACCTTAGGAACTGCATAGGGATGGGTAACTCCCGGAACGAGGATGCAAGCACACATGGGTGCCCCTGCGTGGGGCAACCGATCATGGTCTTCAGAAGCGATTTCTGTCCATTGGTCAGCCGATTAGTGCAGTCGATGTTACCAACCAAGACACACACAAGCACTCTGACTAGCAAGACTGACGTGTGTTCATTGGTCAGCCGGTTTCCACCGTCGATGTCATTGTTGAGAAACACACACACGCCCCCGCGCGGACCCTTTGTCCTGCTGCAAGGTTGACTTTGTTTCATGTGAAGGCCGGTTCGCGCGGTCGATATCCAAACTCAAGAAGCACAAACGTGCAAACACACACACACCCAAACGAACACGGCAGATGCTCGACCAGCTTAGGCACGTGCAACGGCGGCCTCACTGCTTCTCGGTTGCCCCATCCTTTTCCCGCCTGGGATTCCTCTGCAGGGAACCCGGCGATCATACAACAAGCGCGGAGCAACTAGGATCCCAACCCCGTTCCCTGCACCATCCCCTGTTGGGCACATAGCCGCAACGACATCCACCACCCCTCTCATGCCCCCCGTTCCTACGCACCACGCACTCCTAGGACGAGCGTCACAATATTTCAGAATGCACCGCTGCTAGACCCCCCATCTCGCCCATGCTTGCCCCACACCTGAATGATGTGGCTTACGCTATCCCCGATCATGAGCACCCCTGATAGAGCCAGTCGCCACTTGAACGTGGCCACCAGAGCCCTGAGGAGGGTGGTGCCCTTGCGTCTGCCGCGGCCGTCTCGTTCGCTGTCTTCACCCATCCTGGCCCTCTCCCTGCATATGTTCGTTGTGACCGTCGGGGGCGGCACCGCGGGCACCAACACAAAATTCACAGTGGTTCCGTCTCGAAGCACCCCCCCGCCGCCAAGCTAAAAAAGGGCCAGCATCATATGTACTTGCAGCACTAAAGCACAGCCGTGTTGCTTGAGACTCGTCAAGAGTAGAGTAAACCGACAGCGCGGTCCGTGACCGGTCTTGCAAGTTGTGTAGCCAAGGGTTTCGAAGTGCCTATACCTGTATGACCAAAGGGTCGACGGAACCTCGATCGAGCACATGGGGAAGGTGGCTTTGGCAGAAAACGAGAAAAGAAATGTGGCATGCATGGGACTGGTTGGCCGAGCAACCCCTTCACCAAACTAAAAATGTGAGCCAAGCATCCCTGTCGTTGCCACGTTGTCAACCGAGTGCGGACCCTGCCCCTCCCCAAGTTGAAACGACGCAAAATTGTGTGTTACCACGTTTTTTTGCGACACGACCTAGAAGCTTATTGGGTCGGACTCCTTTCACTAATATTCTGCCCCGGCGCACAGATAGTTTCGTTTGCGTCGCCTTTCGCAAGATTCAGTAGCATTCCCATCTCTCCAATACACGATTGACACTCACCATTCCCAGTTGCGGCGGAGCTTATCATTGAGATGCCGGCTGTGTTTGGGTGTTTTCCGGTGTCCGAAGCGAAAACCAGCATGCCATGGTAAGTTGCACGACGGTATTTTGCCGCGAGCGAGGTGAAGCAAGAATGTCAGGGAAAGGGAGAGGGACAGAAAGAGGGAGAGGAGACGGGAGGAGCGGTGGAGGGAGGGGGTGGACACGAGACGTCGGGAACGGGGGGAGGGAAAACAAGCAAAACAAGCAAAACGGAAAGAGAAAAAGGCACAAAAGAGCAACGAAGGGTGAAATAGTGAAGTGTATAGGAGGCTATGTCGGGGAGGGTGACAAACATATGATCCACAGAAGAAGCTCATCAAACCGTGGGGTAAACCCTGTTGTCTGCTAAAATAATACCTAGCACCCCATTTTGGTTGACAAACATACCCCATAACGTTCAAGGCATGTCCCTTTTTTTTCAGCGATGGTGACGCTCCTGCGGACATCCCAAAATGGCAACCGCAGACCACGATATCTCCACATTTTCTGTCTCCTTGTCGCGCCTCAGACCACGAAACCTGCGTGTTGTTGCACCGCAGACCACCATATACATGTCTCTCTCTGTCGTCACACTACTGTGGCTTTCCGTGCAACAGGCTGGTTTCGTGGTCTGCGGCGCGATAAGCCCGCGCAGAAAAAAAATGTACCCCATTGTGTGCCTACACACGCGGGTTATATCCCATTTCGTAAACTCCCCGGCTAGGTTTCCCACCGGAATGGAAGAAAAGCCTTGTCACCCCAACAGCCGGATCTTTCCCTACAAGATTCGCGGCCGCACGGGGCACGAACAAGTCAAGTCAAGCGTATTGCCGGGTTGCACGGCTATCGTGGGCCCATCGTGAAGCCAAAACGGTTTGGTTTAGGTGCTGTCATGGCTGGTGGGGGAAATAACGCTGCTACCACCCCAATGTAATAGAACTTTCCATTGCCCACCACCGGAGCCTCGCCCTACAAGACTCGAATGGACACAAAAGCACTGTAGCAGTATTGTGCGGTTGATGCACTCACAGCAAACAACAGTAGGCAGAAGCTGAGGGGGGCAACAAGATCATTTTTCCCTCCGCAATGCCTCAAACACGTGGAGACCGGAACACTGCCTCCTCTCTTCCTGCACACCGAAAGCAGCGAGCACACCACATTGCCCCCCCGGTCATCGTACGAAACCACCCGCCCGAAAGTCCACAACACCGGCGAGACCCATGCCCACCCCTCACGTTCGAGCGTTGGGAAGGTCCGATGTATATCACACGCGTGGTGTACAACAAGTGAAAGATGCCCCATTAGCTAAAGGTGAAGCCATGGACCTCCGACAGGAGGGTCCCATTGATGGGAAACAGCTCCCAGACGCATCTAAGGTGTCTATGTTTCATGGCAGGTCCAGGTATGACTCTTGCCTGCTTCGAGGTGTGATCGCGACCTTCAAATCGCCGAGCTTCAACTTGTAACACATGATACTTGCATGATAACTCTATTTTTCGTACCACGGCCAAGACATACATACTTACAGGTAGGCATGACAGGTGTCGTGTAAGACATACATCATATGTTGTTCTGGAAGCCTGGTTCAACGCTTTTCGTCTCGAACATGTCTCCTGGAAACATACATCCAGCAGCTGTACAGGTTCTTCGACATCCCCATGCACATGTCCATGGGAAGTCTCGCGCAAGTCGTTGAGCACCATGTGCTGTGCCCTTGTGGCAATTGAAAGTAGACGTGCGCGGAGATGGCGTCCGAAAGAAGCTGCCCTTATATCGCGTAATGGACCTCCTAATGCTTGTAAGCTATCGGTCGGTAATAGGAAGGCGTCAGCCCCAGCTTGATCCACAACCATCCTACTGTATCGAACTCAGCGTAGACGAATGGTCCCGCAGGGGAACAGCATTGATTCTATTTAGCAGGTTTCCGAGGCTCAGAGGCGATCGTCGAAGCTACTGTGCCAGCGTCGGAAAACCGACCACGACTCGTTGAGCGGAACGTTGCTATAGAGTACCCGTCACGTTTTCGTTTGTCGCTCTTGACCTCAATCTTCACACCCTTGATGTTGCGATGACGACGACGAGTACAATCGTGGGAACACGGTAATATTGGCATTTTGCTGCCTATCGGCAGCTCTCATGCTACGCATGGTCGCCACGCAGCGCATGGAAGGAATCGTTTGGGTGGCGAAACGCTCGGGGGTAGAGAAGCAGCTCTATTCTCCTTCCATTATCTGGGGTCTCCGGCCGCAACTTAGCAACGTCGTTGCCGTGGAGACTGCGAGGTGGGCTTGCCCATTGGTTCGTGTCATCCCGTGTGTCAGATGATTTGCGGCACGGTTCGCATCCTGGGGCATTTCCGTGCAACAGAACGTTCCTCTCCCTTTGCGACACCTGCACATACTGATGCTGGCCGACATTGTGTAGGGTATCTCTCACACCAGGACGACACCATGTGAATACCGTAAGAGGCACCGGCTTTCAAAGCTCGACTGCTCCACAACCAAGGGGGTGCGGAAACAGCTCGACACATATACTAAACTACCTCGACGACATGTGTCTAAAACAACGGGTTTGTGTTTTGACACTATCTTGGTTGTGGGGCAATCGAGCATTGAAATTCTGTCTAGGGGGGAGTAGCATTTTTCAGCCCTTTACGGTATCATAAAATTCTGTTGTCATGTCATGTATGTATGTAGGTTAGCGACCCCCTGGGTTGGTGTTCCGGGAAACGCACGTGGAAGGTGGAAGAGATCTGCCGACTGCTGTAGTGAAGCGAGAGCTTGTGGGTTGTGATAAAAGCCTGTACTACCAACATTGAGCCGTGTTCAGAACATGGATCGCTGCTCTTGACACTTTCATTGAGTAGGTGGCTTCTCGTGAGTGACAGCCGCAGCTAGCGCACAGAGTAGAGCACCTTTTCGTATCTGGTCTGCCACATTGGGTCAGAGAGTAGGTCGACGGATCGCAGTCAAGAAGGGTAGCAAGCAAGCTGGGAGTCAGACTCGTAGGGCAAGGGAGTTCAGACATGAGCGATGGGCGGCGACGAAGAATATACGTGCCGCGGGTAGGAGCGAAAATGAATCCGCTTCATTCTCATCATTTTTGGTCAACATTCTTTTCGGCCGCCACTTTTTCTTTTCTAGGGGGTTGGGGGGTATGTTGGAAAGGCTGTGTTTATTTGATATCCTCGCACGTCAAGATACTGTCTTCAGCAGCAGTAGACTCCTTGGCCTCGACTTGTTGGCACACGCTCGAACCCAATCCTTAATTCGTGAGATTGAAGCTGATGTGCACGCACACACAGGATTCGACTAATACTGACTAAATTCGAGACACGTATGCATACATAGGCCTACAATCGAAAATCGGGATCCGTGGGGGCGGGGGGCGGGGGGGGATGTACTCATAGTCGTGCATGCTGTAGTCGTTAGACCATTGACCTCGCATCCCTACAAAGCCGGGACGGAGCACGCCGGGTTCTCACCGGACCAGGCTCTCACATCACCAAGCGCGAAGCGCCGTGAGGTATTCGGCGAGTCGCATGAAGGGTGAGCTGCATCCTGCTAAGGGTGTTCGGCATCTTGTGCTTACTTCCTTGCATACGAATGACAGCTGCGTATGACTCAATTTATTTTCTGGTGCTTTCACTTCCAGAGACAGTTGTAAGCACTGTGTAACTGCCTCGAGGATGCTTGACGATTTCAACACAACGTGGTGCGATCATCCCCGTTGCGCGGAGTGAGGCTTCTCGACCCCGCACAACATGATCTACTCGACCACCATTCATGGTTACCGCACAAAAAAAAACAGAGGTAAAAAAAACAAAACGGTAACCTGGTTGCCGAGTTCACGAAGTGACTTGGCTTGTTTTACAACGTCGTTGCCAAGCGACCCAATCCCGATGGCAAAACACCGGGGGGGGGGCGGCTTGTTTTACAACGTCGTTGCCAAGCGACGAAAACCCAACCCTGATGGCAGAACACCGGGTGGGGGGGCGGGGGGGGGGGGGGACTCATACCCAAAG